CATTGATGGACTCAAGTGTGGCAGCGGTAGTGAGGTTGGCCCAGGATTGGACATTGTTTCGTTCTGCTGTGCATGGGGTCACTATGAGTCGGTTCTGACTTGATGGCAACTGACAACAACAACAACAGTGTGAGGACAACAGGAATTCTGAGGACTAGATTACAAAAGGGATTCATCCACAAGGCAGAACAAATCCACTGGGTGGGCAGAGAACCTGTGGGAGGGGAAAGAAGGGAATGAGGAAGTTGTGGGAAGAGACCTGTCAGGAAGGAAACTGAGGGAAAGACTGGTTCTTAGATAATGAGTTGTGTGGGGGATTGTGTGGGGGACTGAGTCCGTGTGCTTCAGAGTAGAACTAAGCTCCATAGGATTTTCAATGACTGACGAATTTGGGTATTTTTGTTTACTTGTTTATTTGCTTTTTTGTCAGAAATCATTTAACAGGCTTTTCTTGTGATGTGCCTCTGAGTGGACTTGAACCTCACAGTGGTCCAATAGGACACAGTAGGACCACTCGAAAGGGTTTCCTAAACTGTAAATCTTTCTTCTCTTGAGTGGCTGGTGCACCCAAACAGCTGATTTTTCAGTGCCTGGCTGAGTGCCTTAACCACTGTGCCACAAGGGCTCCTATGAGTGATAATAGAGAGGTTTTTTTTAAAATATAAACACATAATAAGCATATGCTTATTAGCCATTTGGAGATGTTCTTCTGTAACGTTCAAGTCTTGCCATGTTTTGATAAGTCCGTCTTCTTGGCAATTTTTAGAAAATTTTGTTTCTTTTATATTTTGGATGTAAGTTGTTAGATGTATGTTGTTGTTGTTGTTAGGTGCCATCGAGTCGGTATCGACCCATAGCGACCTTATGCACAGCAGAACGAAACACAGCCCGACCCGTTAGATGTATATAACTGCAAATATCTTATCCTCATTCACTGTTGTTTGTCTTTGACCCTTACTGTGCTTGGCACACAGTCATTGTACCATCAATTTGGTTTTGACTGTAAGAAACGTGATGTTGTAATAAAATAACAAACCGTTGCTTGGTCCTGTGGCATCCTCACAATAGTGGCATGACTGCACCCATTGGTGCAGCGACTCTATCAATCCATCTCCTCAAGGGTCTCCCCTTTTTCACTGGCCTTTGACTTTACTAAACATGATGTCTTCCAGGAAGTGCTCCCTCTCTGCAAAATCCATGAGAGAAAAGTCTTAATCATCCTCACTTCTAAGACACATTCTGACTGTACTTCTTCCAGCATAGCAGTGTTCATTCTTAAGGTTTGTTGTGAAGTGCCGTCGAGTGGGTTCCGACCCCTTGCGACCCTTTATAGGGTTTCTGAGGAGCAGCTGGTGAGCTTCAACCGCCAACGGGGCTGTTCAAGCCGACCTTGCAGTCCAGCGCATTAATCCACAGAGCCACATAGTATAGCCAACATTGTTGGATAACCACACCATACCAAATCACTCAAATGCATCAATTCTTCTTTGGTATGATGCGATTGAAAATACCATGGCTTTGGTCTTGCGCTGTGGGTTAGGCGCTGGGCTGCTAACCTGAAAGACCGGCAGTTCAAACCCACCATTGTATCAATGGGAGCAAGATGAGGCTGTCTGCTTTCGTAAAGATTTAGTTTCAGAAACCATATATAGAGTCAAATGTACTCAATGGCAGTGGGCTTGTTTTGTTTATTTTGTTGTTATTGTTTTGAATCAAGCGTTTCTTAGTCCTCAAAGTGACATCTCTGCACACAGTAACCCCTCAGTAAATGGTTATTGAATGAATGTGTTGGAGTCCTAATCCTGGGCCTCGGTTTTCTCCTGTAGGAATGTTAATTTACGTTTTGCCCATATCTCAAGATTTTGCTTGGTTTCCTGAGAAACAGCCTTCTCTCGCTGTTTCTCTCGCCGGGTTAAGAGGTTCGCAGCAAATGTCAGCTTTGAGACTCAGAGGCGGTGGAGCTGGGTCCTCCCATAACTCTTAGAGCAGCTCCACGTGGACGCCTCGCCTAGAGCAGGCCCCGCCCACGCTGTCACTTAGTGAGAGGCGGGGCATGGTCAAGGCTTCCAGAGGGTGTGGTTAGAATCGGAAACAGGAAGTAGGTGGAGCTCCGCAGGACGCTGACCATTGAGGAGGAAGAATCCACAGTAGAAGGGGGAGGTGCCCGCATTCCCTTTGGGCGGTGCGGCGTCGTCGGGGCAACATGACGTCTCGGAGGAGGGGCGTGGCCTCATGGGAGGCGGAGCTTCTGGGGGCGGGACGGCGCGGCCCGGAGCGCCCGTGTCAGCTGACCTGTCGCCATCTTGGCCGCCATTTGCAATCGGCCGGGACCGGGAGCGCGGACTCTCGGTCTGCTCCGCCGCTGCCGCCGCCGCCTCCAGGGGCCCCGCCGCCGAGCTGGCCTGGGCGTCCTCCCCGCCGCGGCGGCCGGCAGCGCAGCGCTCCACGGGCTGCAGGCGCGGCCCTCGGGCACCCATTCGGCGCTCGGCCGCGGGCCTCCCGGGGTTCGAGGCCGGCGCAGCCCCAGTCAGCAGCCGCCATGGCTCTCAAGATGGTCAAGGGCAGCATTGACCGCATGTTCGACAAGAACCTGCAGGACCTGGTGCGCGGCATCCGCAACCACAAGGAGGACGAGGTGAGGCCGACCCCGGGGAGTTCCTCCCCGAGCCCACGGTTTTAGATGCAGCGTCCGGGGCCCCGCCGATGGAGGCCGCTCTCCCCAGCCTCCCACCTGTGTTTCCGGATCATCTGAGAATGCAGGTCCCGGCCCTCACCCCAAGAGTCAGGACCCTGTAGCCGGGGCCCTCGGAACCGCCCGGCTCCGGGTCACGCCCAGGTCTCGTGTCCTCGGGAAGGTGGGGCTGCTGCTCAGAGGAAAGGCCTCCAGCCTCCTAACCGAAATACAAACAATCCTGGGGGATCCGGGAATGGGGAAGCCGACTTCAGAGAGAAACTCAAGAGCCAGGGCCGCCGCAGGGCTTTCCAGAAGTAAAAATACTGCTGTGGGCATCATTTCCTTCCCTCCCCTTCCTCCTCTAATCTGTGACCTAGATTCAGAAAGAAGGGGGACAGTTAGTTGCCGCTGATCCAAGCGTCCAGGTCCGCCTTAGTACAGGGATGCTCGGAGTGCTGCTCCTTAAACCTCCCGTAGCTGGAAAGCAAGGGGGGGTGGGGTGTGTGTGTGTGTGTGTGTGTGTGTGTGTGTGTTGGAAAGCAAGGGTGTGTGTGTGTGTGTGTGTGTGTGTGTGTGTGTGTGGAGGGGGGGAAGCAGCTCTGGGACCCTGGATCTTGTGCTGACCCCCTCTTCATAGCGGCTCTGGCTCAGCCCGGTCCCTTTTAGTACAGAATGCGGGGAATTTGCTCATCTGTTCGTTTTGGAGCCTGAATTCTTGACACTCTGTTGCACTTTTTCAGAATTGGTGTGACCGCACTGAAAGTAATTAGGTTATTTTGGTTGACTTCCGTCAACCCCTTCTCACTGGCTACACCTCTGATTTGCAGGATATTAGTAGCACTCCCTAGCGGCTTTGCTTACAGTGTGTAACTGACTTACCTTTCCTTTCCTTTATAGGCTTTGGTTACAGTGTGTAACTGACAACCTTTTAGAGTTGAAACAGGCTTTAGTTACAGTGTGTAACTGACTTACCTTTCCTTTCGTT